ACCCCACCACACCGGGGCAAAACACTAAGGGAAAGGGAATAGGGCCAGGAAGTCCCCAGGGAGTACCAAAAATAGACTTTGGAGCCAGGGCATGGTACCCCGTCAGACTTGACCAGAAAACACTCCTAAAGGCCAACAAACAGTCCTTGAACTATCTATAGGTTTTTGGGTTTTTTTGGTCATTGGTTTTGTTGTTGTTTTTGTTGTTTGTTTTTTTTGTTTTGGTTGCTTTGTTTTGCTCTGTCTTGTTTTTGTGCATGTTATTATCTCTGCAGGTCTGTCTAAATAATATAGGCTGGAGGAGAAAACTACGGGACCGATGGTTCCAGGGGAGACATGAGAAAAGGGGAGGTGGGAGGAAAGGAAGTGGTGTTAACAAACCCAGGGACAAGGGAACAACAAGTGATCCAAAATCAGTGGTGAGGAGGGTGTAGGAGGCTTGGTAGGGCTTGATCAAGGGCAATGTAATTAAGAGGAATTAACTGAAACCCAAATGAAGGCTGAGCTGAAAAGTGGGACAAGAGGAAAGTAAAAGGAAATAGAAGAAAGAACTAGGAGGCAAAAGGACATTTATAGAAGTGTGAATAAAGGTATGTACTTATGCAAATATATTTATAGGATGATGGGGAAATAGATCTACATGCATATAGTTTAGTATTAAGGTAGCAGATGGACATTGGGCAAAAAGTACTCCCTCAATGCAAGAATACTGTGTTCTATTAAACTGGCATTCCATGATGCTTACCTTCCCGACATGATCGCTGAAGACAAAGAGGGTGCATAAGCAAATGTGGTGAAGAAAGCTGAAGGAGCCTGGCTATCAAAAGGGTCTTAAAGGCTTGAAGATAAAAAAGCGGCCATCTAACTCAGAAGCAACAAAGCCCATATGGAAGCAGCACACCAGCCTCTGTGATTACAAGGTGTTGAAGGTATCAGGTATCAGGCATCAAAGAACAAAACATTAAATCATTGTGAATGAGGGGGAGTACAGATTGGAGACCCAAGACCCATCTGTAGGCAACTGGACATCACCTTATAGGAGGGTCACAGGGAGGAGACGAGCCAGTCAGGGTGCAGTATAACAACGATAAAACATACAACTTTCCTCCATTTCCTAAATGCACCCCTCACCCTCCACTATCATGATCCCAATTCTACCTTACAAATCTGGCTAGACCAAAGGATGTACATTGATACAGATAGGAACTGGAAACACAGGGAGTCCAGGACAGATGATCCCTTCAGGACCAGTGGTGAGAGTGGCGATACTGGGAGGGTGGAGGGAAGGTGGGGTGGAAAGGGGAAACCGATTACAAAGATCTACATAAACTCCTCCCTCAGGAATAGACAACAGAAAAGTAAGTGAAGAGAGATGTCGGACAGTATAAGATATGACAATAATAATTTATAAGTTATCAAGGGTTCATGAGGGAGTGGTAACCGGGGAGGGAGGGTACAAAATGAGGGACTGATGCGAAGGGCTCAAGTAGAAAGCAAATGTTTTGAGAATGATGATGGCAACAAATGTGCACGACACAATGGATGTATGTACGGATTGTGATGCAATGGATGTTATGTATGGATTGTGATGAGTTGTATGAGCTCTCAATAAAATGATTTTTTTTTAAATTACAGTTATGAAGTACCAACGAAAATAATTTTATGGTTGGGGCTGGTCACCACAGCATGAGGAACTATATTTAAAGGGTGGTGACATTAGGAAGGTTGAGAACCACTGGCTTAGACCTTTGTTACTTTTCTGTCAAGTTTCAGTATTCAGATTTGTATTCCTGTTCTCTTCCCGCTGTCTCCATGGCCTTGTGCATTTATGCCTATCTTCAAACAATTTCTCTTCCTTTACCTGTCCCTTCCCTCCGCCTCTCCTTCCTTTTTAACACACACACACACACACACACACATACACACACAGACTTCAGAAATTTCTTGGGGAAAAATCTTGTTTTCATTTTCCACAAAATCCTTGGAGCCCACTTTTGTATATACAGTATGTATATTAGCTTGTTTTTAGTCAGAATTGACTGTATAGCAGTGAGTTTGGTTTTATATGTATGTATGTGTATATAGAGGAGTCCTGGTGGCATAGTGGTTATGAATTGAGTTGCTGACATTCAGGTTAGCAGTTCCAAACCACCAGTTGCTCCAAGGGAGAAAGATGAGACTTTCTATTCTTGTAAAGAATTGCAGTCTCAGAAACCCAGAGGGGCAGTTTTACACAGTCCTATAAGGTGGCCCGAGTCAGAATTGACACTACAAGAAATTTATTTTGTTTTACGTGTGTGTAATACATATGCTTACTATTATAGTATCCTATATAAAACTTTGGGTAGGGTTTAGAAAAGGAACAAAAATTAGATAAATTCAGTCTATCTGGGAGTTTTCCTGTCTCTTTTTATGCCCTGTCTCCTTTAAATAGACTGAGCTCCCTGGTTTAGCCTGAGTTTGAGGTATACTTTTTATATCTCTCTCTACCCGACTTAGTGCCTTCAGATTGTGTATCATAACTGCTTGACTTGTCCTAAGTGAGGCTGTGAACCTAAACGAATGACATGTATAATGTGTCCCTGGGATAGCCATTGCCATTTCTCTATTGAGTCCCTTGTTGCATATTGAGAATGATCGCTATTCCACATGTTTATATGTACATACTATGCTGATAGTACTAGGTTAATGTTTCATAGTGTGAAAATGTCTTCACTATGCTTAGCTTAATGAAAATGAGTCCCTTCATCTTTAGTGCATGGTGTTGTCACTAACCACAGATTTTGTGGTTACCACCACTGAAGATGAAAAGAAGCCACTCACTGTTTCCCTACCATCTTCCTAGTTCTTTCTGATAATTAGCAAGCTCTTTTCAAATAGCCACTTATTAAACAGCTGCTAAACTAACATAAATTTCACTAGTAACAATGTAAGTTGGCAATTTAATGTGTAATTTAAAATAATACATTTTATAAATTGTGTGTGTTCTCAAGTTCAGCTTCGCCATTAAATAAAAGGTTTCTTTGACAGTTCATGCTAGGCTTTAGTAAGGGGACAGTTGTTCATGTTCATCGTAATTTTGTTCTCCAGTCCTAACAGGGGCTTTACAGAGATGCACTGTATGAGTGGCCACTCCAATTTTGTATCCTGTGTATGCATCATACCAGCAAGTGACAGCTACCCTCATGGACTAATCGCCACTGGAGGAAATGACCACAACATTTGCATTTTCTCACTGGACAGTCCAGCGCCACTGTATATACTGAAGGGTCATAAGAACACTGGTGAGTACAGTAATTTGATAGCCTTCTATTGAGGTGCCAGCCTCTGAAAGTAAAATTCATAACTATTTTCCCAAATTTTTACTTTATTCTGTTTTGCTTTATTCTGTTTTACTTAGATGGTAGAAACCTTTTCCAATCATTTTAATTTTGTAAGTTTTCTGGAAAAAAGGTACGCCAGTGAAGGTTGACTTCTTCATATATGTAAAAGTAAAGTGTTCTGTTACAAAGGGTGTAGGCGCTGCTTTAATAATTGTACTTTTGCTTTTGAATTTTCAACTATTGCGCGAGACTCGTTTGTGCTATTTCTCTGTCTTTTGGGTCTTGTGTCTGTATTTATGCAACAAATTGAAAACAAAGGGAAGTTGTGTTTAGGACTTTTATATCATTAGAATATATATTACTTTTGAATATTTTTTCTGTGATGTATATTCCTGGATTTATTATGCTTTAATGTGTCTTCATTATATGAAGGGGCTTTAAAAAATTTACATCAAAAGGTCATAGGTAATTTTCCCACTACCTTTTTATAGCCCAATCATAAAATGACATGCTTGATCTGTGTAGTGTGTACATACATTTTTTCTTATGTATCTGGAGTGGTTTAGGATGCACAGAAACAGGTAGTAGGAGCTCTGGTGGTGTGGTGGTTACAAGCTGGACTGTGATCCTCATGGGCTGGCATTTCAAAGTCACCAGCAGCTCTGAGGGAGAAAGACTGTGTGTCTACTCCTGTAAACAGTCTGTTCTCAACCTGTGGCTCAGGACCCCTTTGGGGGTTGAACAGCCCTTCCACAGGGGTCGCCTGATTCATAACAATAGTAAAATTGCAGTTAAGAAGTAGCAACGACAATAATTTTATGGTTGGGGGGAGTCCCTACAACATGAGGAACGATTAAAGGGTTGCGGCATGACGAAGGTTGAGAACCACTGAGTTAGTCTCAGAAACCAGTGAGCCAGCATTGGCTTGATGGAAGTGAATCGTTTTTGTTGTGTAAGCAAATAGTATAGCCCATAAATGGCTTTAAATTACCCTTTTAAACAGTTTATAAAATGGGGTGTAGTTTTCAATATGGAGCTTTAAAAACTATGTTGATGTTGGAATGCTTTAAAAATGTACTCAAAAATGGAGGTGTGATATTTTACAGTGAATTATTTTGTAAACAATTCCCACAGGGACTTCAAAAAGTTCATGGAAAATTTTTCACCGTCTTTTAATGTTTTTCCATGATCTTTTGAACCCTCCTGTGTTGTCTTAGTGTTCTCCATTTTATTTCTCTAGTTTCTAATATCTATTGGAACTCAAGACAAAATTCATGACTAAAGGGTTTATTAAGGAAGTTCACAAGTTGTAATGCTAATGAGAAGTGCCCAGGGTAGTTGTTTTAAGACAAGTACCAAAGTTCTGTCAAGTCTGCTAATAAATGCCCAAAGGGGCAGAACACTCCACTGGAATCCTCAACTCCAAGGCAGTCAGCGCAAGCTCTGGGTCAGTCAGCAAACCTAGCTCCCTGAATTAGGTGCCCAGAAGCACCCACTCCAGTAATTCTCAGCCCCACATCCGTCGGTCAGCAAACTCTGCTTCTCCAGTTAGGTGCCAGAGGCACCGAGTCTCCTGAACAAAAGCACTCAGCTTGTATTTGCTGCATGGATCGGGAAGCCCATCCCTTGTTCCACACTCTGGCTCCTGATTCTGCTGCTGCTTCTCTGATGTTATAGGTAACTTACCTGTATGGATCCTGGGCAGGGATCTAGGTTCTAGAGGTCATACCCTGTTCTTGGCTCTTGCTGGTAATTCGATCCCTCCCCCTGTTTCTTAGAGGGCTTGTTTTATATGAGCAGGATAGCATTCCAGGGGATCCTGCTCACAATTACAGGCAAATCTTGTCAGTACCTTCCCCTACCTTCTTAACAGACCTAAGCAAGAAAAGATCATTTGGTGGGAGCTAGAGACTGGCTAGAGGAGCCACACTGAATCATGCACTGCCCTGCCTCCTTGTATGAAAGAGGGAATAGTGTAGTGACCCCCCTCTCTCAAGCACCTAGCCTCCGGATTATCAACACCTGACTTATTTCATCCTCTCCCTCTTCCACTGCATTCTTTTGAAGAAAATACCGGATACTTCATATCATTCATAAATTGCTTCAACATGTAGCTCTAAAAACATAGGCTACCAAACATTTTTCTGTAAAGAGTTGTACTGTAAAAGCTGTCAACAGTAACTAAATGAACCCTGGGTGACACAGATGGTTACTGAACTCTGAAAGGTTGGATTTTTGAGTACACCTAGAGGCTGACTCAGGAGAAAGACCCAGGGAGCTAGTTCTGGAAAATTCAGCACAGTTCAACTCTTGACATTCATGGGGCCCAGTGGGTCAGATTCAGCTCTCTGGAAACTGGTGGTTTTCATTTGTGGACACAGAAATTTGAATTTAATACAATTTTCATGTCACAAAATACTAATTTAGATTTTCTTTCCAGCCATTAAAATAAGGTGACCAGATTTTAACATTGGTAAAGCGGGACACCATTGATAAAACTCATGTCCTGGCGAAATAGCCACATGGCAGCCGAAAACCATATACCCTAGCTCGTCGTCGTGCATTCTTTCAAAAAATGGGACTTTTTAAAAACGCTGCGGGACGTGGGACAAATTGTTAAAAATCAGGACTGTCCCACCAAAAGCGGGACGTCTGGTCACCTTACATTAAAAGGCAAGTGGTACCACCCCTCTTTTAAAGATGAGGCCCCTCTATTTTTCTTAAAAAGAAAACAAATTCAGTGTCATTGCCATTCTCCAAACAAAGCCAGATTTCCAATAATGTTCAAGTTTACTCAATTATCTCTAAAATTGTCTTGTACACAGTCTGAATCAGAAGTCCAGCAGGGGTCATGGATTTTTTTTAACCTATTTGTTTCTTAATGTTTTCCTCATGCTTGGGAACCCTGGTGGCGCAGTGGTTATGTGTGGGGCTGTGGTCCTGCATTGTCAGCCAGTTGAAATCACCAGTGGTTCCTCAGGAAAGATGGGCTTCCTGTTCCTGTAAACAGTCACAGTCTCAGGAACTCACACGGGGCAGTTCTACCCCGGCTGGAGGGTCACTCTGAGTCAGTATTGACACGATGGCAGTGGGTTTGCTTTATTTATTTGCAACAAGATTATTTGAGCTGTAGAAGTTCCCATAATTGGGATTTTACTGATTGAAGCCTTCTTAATTCATTTTGGGGAAGGCTTTTTTCAGATGGTTGACCGTCTTAGATCAGCTGCACATATTTAAGGAGATCCAACTCCACTGCCATCAGGACTATATAGATTTCTAGACTTATCTCCTAGGAAGCAAAATGCTACAAGTTTTTCTTATAAAAGCTGTTGGTGGGTTTGAACCACTGACCTTTCAGTTAACCACTATATCACCGGCTGATGACTTGGCCTTTTAGGCGGGAGACACTCTGCTATGCATTAGTATCTGGAAACCTTAACACTATGCACTCTTCTGGAGAAAAATCTTCCCTACTTCTGCTGGAGGGGTGTAGGGTAGCCTGTCCCTCAGTGCTGATGTTGTGGGTACAGGAGGCTGTAGGACCACTTACCTTCCCTGTGCTGACAAGGGCTCCTTCTTCCATCCCTTGCTTATGTCTGGTCATCTGAGCCTGGAGACTTGGCTTCATTTTCTCCAGTCTCTTGTGGTAGATTTGGATGTAGTTGTTTGACTCTAGGTTGGAGGAAGAGATAGGTAGAATTTCACAGTGTTGTATAGTTGTATACAAGCTTTCAGTCACGCTCCACATTTTTAAAGTCTCCATCCTGTACTTGGCTGGCTACTGAGTGTTGTGGATGTTTCCTGGGCCCTGCCACTTTGCTTCTAATTCTCCCTCCCTCTGGGTATTTGAATTATAACATCTTCGGTTTTGCTGTTATTTTACCATTTAAAAAAAAGTATTTTAATACTAGTATCTGTTTATGGATTTACTCTGTTAGAGTAACGAGAGTGTTATTCTCTGTTTTTAGACAATCTTTCATATTTGTTATTTTTAGCCTGTACAGGGAGCTTCAAAAAGTTTGTGGGAAAATCTTATTAGTTCAATTTTCCCATTAAATTTTTGAAGCCCCCTACCGACATAAATTTATATTGAAGACAGAAGTATCTTTAGTTTGCCATTCTATGACTGTTGAGTATTTAACTTGACACTATTTTTCTGTCATCTTAAAGTTGTCCTAAATAATCCGTATAAGAAGAACTTCAGCATCGTTTTCATGATCTTCGTCGTTTCTTAGGGCTGTAGACAACTTAATGCCGCTCCGTCATTATGCAGCCATGCTCAGTAATGTCCTTATGGTGGTGCAGCCAAGGTAGACACCAGGATGTGCAGCACCAGAGTCTGCTCTGGATTATGTTCCGCACACTGCATCTCCTTTGAATCAAGCCTTGATTGGCCTAGGTATGGGCAGTCACTTCATCAAGTGTTTCTAAAACTATAGTGCTTTAGTGACTGGCAAAGTTGACCATATTTCTAGCTGAACATGTTTTAACAAGTGATTCTTTATTTCCCAGTTTGTAGTCTTTCGTCTGGAAAATTTGGGACATTACTTAGTGGCTCGTGGGACACCACCGCCAAAGTCTGGCTGAATGACAAATGCATGATGACTTTACAGGTATAGTCGTTCTCTGTGGATATTCTAGGTGAAAATTAATGGGACACATTGGTGGCAACTTAAATTGATACCCATTTTACTCATAGGGCCATACAGCTGCAGTATGGGCAGTAAAGATATTACCTGAACAGGGATTGATGTTGACTGGGTCTGCTGACAAAACCATCAAGCTGTGGAAGGCTGGAAGATGTGAGAGGAACTTTACAGGTAAGATCAGAGTTGACAGCTTTTATAATATCCATCTATGATTTGCTCAGATTTTTTTTTTTCTTAAAAGTTGTGGGTACTGGAAATATATATTTGCAATTACATTGTTTCAGTGTTTGAGTCACTTGGTTGAGTGGTAATTTTTCTGACAGATAATATTTAACATCATTTTAATTTGTATCTCCTGCATGGCTAGTGATCATGAGTTTTTTTTCATGTTTGTATTTCAATTGTCTTTTTTTTTATTAATCATTTTATTGGGGGCTCTCACAAATCCTATAACAATCCATCATTCAATGTTTTTAAGCACACATGTACGTATGATGCCACCAACATTTCCAAACCAGTTTCTTTCTCCTTGAGCCCTTGGTGTCAGCTTCTCTTTTTGCCCCCCCCCTCCCCTTCTGCCCTTGTGAATCCTTGATCAATTATATATTATTATTTCATGTCTTACACTGTCTGTTGTCTCCCTTCACCCAGTGAGTGTCATTTTTGATGA